CGATGTTTCGCCTTAAGACACTTGCAATAAGGCTCTTCAGTACCAAATTGAATAACATAGAAAATACACACACTCCATTCATAAATTACGATTTTCAATGTCACGGAATAAGCTTGATCTGCTTTTGTCATCGATGACATCGTAATGACATTCATTCACCTATTTGATTTAATCCCAGCCAAGAGGAATCTTATTTGAAATGAAGGGGGTTATATTTTTAGGAGTGATTAATTTTTGGGAAAGGAAGCTTTTGGCTTTCTACTACTCCATCTTGATACAAAAAAAAGGAAAAAAAACTTTTTTTTCCAAAAATTAACCACTCCTAAAAATATAACCCCTTCATTTCAATTAATTTCATCATTTGAGCTTGTTATGAGGAAGCATCTTGCAAATATATGATAGCGCTGGAATCACTGGACTCATCATGTGCTTCGGAACTTAGTTTTATACATTTTATTTTGTTGGCATTTTCTTAACACCAACTTTTATAGGTTAATTTTTCTTCTCTTCTTCTTTGTTTTATTTTTTTCTGAAGCTGAATTGGATCTGTCGGTCACATATGATGCAAGGAACGCATCGTCAAGAAATATGTTAGAATTAAGGAGATATATGCCAGTTTTGATGGATCCTTGAGTAACATTTTGTAGGCTGAAAGCTGCTAAATAGGCATCTCTAACAAAATGCGCAATTTGGTGTATTCAAAGAGCCAGTTTTCGTGCCATGAAAGAGCCGTCTCTTTCGAAGCCTCCATAAGTGGCTCTTCTAAAACATTTTCTCATTAAAGTTGTAACCTCAAAATACAGCTATTTCGCGTAAACATTATAACAGTATTGCTAAATATATGCATAACAATACAACATATCAATTTTATCAACTCATGCTGCACTTTTCTTTGTAAAACAAATTAGGTAAACGCAGACAAACTTACTTTTTTGTCCTAAAATCTTTTATGTGATTTACCGACGAAATTCGGTTTCGCAGAACTGTCAAATGTTTTCGGCTGACAGTTATTCTGTGTTGCCATACAAATATTACAATAAAATTATGGTAGGATTTTGGTAATTCGTAGACAATCACATCGGCTCTTTCAAACCTGGTCCTTTCATACACACTCTCACCTACATGCGTTATTCGTTTCGAACATCGTAGTGGTTCACAGAATATTCCATTCCAAAGCGAGGAGGAATTAAAAAAAGTTAAAAAATGAGAAAATGATTCATAGATAGAGATTTGAAAACAAACATAACTTTTATAGCAAAACGAAATGTTATTTCAATGAATAATAATTCAATTTCAAGTAACAACAATATAACGACCAAAATTTTGCATATCAAAACAGAGATGTTGTATCAATTCAAAACTCGGGCTCTAGGAATCAAAGAAAACGAGTAGAACTCACATCGAGAAGTATAAACTTCAGTCTTCCAGAAATCCATTTTTCAATCGCATTAAAAAAATGCTGTATTTGTTAATGCTCATCTATTCCTTTCATGAGTTGATAACTCATTATGAGCCTCTTCAGGGTTATGATTATTTGGAGCATGTCATTCATAGCAGGCCACACCCAGCTTCTACTTTATGAGAATACCTTATCTATTGGAAAATTTAATCGCGTTTATTCACGCCGTTTTGCAACTAAGAGTCTTTATTTTGGGAAAAAACACAAGCACTTCAAAAAATCTTCAAAGCGCTCTGAGAGTGTTGCCTGTGCGAAAGTAGCGATTCACATTGGATTTGAATAGCTGGATAATGAATCCATTTGGAATAACGTTCTCAGAAAGTTTATTTCACATAAACACAGTTTTCCAAATGGAAAAGTTCTTGAACAGTGAACCTCAAAACAATAACCAGCCACAGTCCGTCGCGTATTTTTGATATGTACTGCATTTGGTGGAATCAAATGTGTCAAGTCACTCGAACACTTTCCCTGAAAGTATTCATAGAAGAGAGACCAATCTCCAACCTTTCTTCGATGTTCCAGGCTACCAAGGTTGCAAGTGATGTTCGCGTCTCCAATCAGGCGGATGGCTGTTTTCTGGATGGAATCCAACAGCTTCAGGATATGCTGGACCTACATACATGAGAACAATACTCCAAAGAAGATTTGATCACAGCTTCATAAAGCATTAAAAGTTGCTGAGGTGTATACAGTTCTCTGGTTCTGAATAGTGTTTCAAGCTTTTGATAATCAGCATTTGCAATTCCAGCGACATGATTGCGTCAAAACATATTGGTGCCATTTTAACCCCCAACAAACTTATCGGAGCAAAAAACGGAATTATCTGTAATGTCATCATTATATCCGGTTCAAAGACATTTATCTTTTTGAATATAATCGATGCCTGAATCGATAGCCAGGCGTTTCGACGTGAGTGCTTTGTCAACTCACTCGAATTGACTGCCGTGGTAATCGGTGGTTCCAGCCCCAGTCTGAACGATCAATTTTCACTTGCCATCGTCCAACTCGTGTTAGAAATTACACGTTAAAAGGTAAGGCTTCCCCAATCCTTAGCTCGCACAAGTTTCGATTTCTGAGGGATGTCGTTCGTAGGGGTGCGACAGCTGGTTAACGGAAAAACAGATTTTTCAAACAGACAGATGTGATATCGAATTGAACCTGGTTACTTTCACCCAATTCTAAATCACTTACGGATCTTCATTGAGATATGCAATCTCCTGCTGTCGGTAAAGATGTGCATCAGTAATTCTGAAATCCAAATGAAATGACGAGACAAGTGTGCTGTCGTCAGCAGAGCAATACATTGGAAACTCGATTTTTTCCAATAAGTCGTTTACATACAATAAAAAGAAGGTTGTTGGCAATATGGAACCCTGGGGTCCACCAGCATTGATGGTGAAAGCATTCGAGAGATATCCATCAATGGCCACTTGCAGGAAATGTTCTTCTAGTGAGTTGTCATACCATTTCGGAACGGAGGTTAAATATCTTGGCATTGTCCTTGATAAAAGACTCACCAGGAACGTTCACTTTGAAAAAGTTTTACAAAAAGTCATGTCTCTATGGACATGTCGAAGGATTCGTGGTAAAACTTGCAGTTTAGGTCCCAAACAAATCCATTGGATTTATGTGATGATTTTCAGACCAATGATCACATCTGGTGCAATTGCCTGGTCGCCAAAGGCTTTACAGCCACACCTCCAGAGGCCACAGAGATCCTTGTAGATCTACCTCCTCTCCACATTCTTCTGGAGGGAGAGGCTAGATAGACTGCATACAGACTTGTGCACATTGCCAATTGCACAAATCAATTTATTGCAGAGTGCAACAGACTGTTGGTTGACACTCACAGCATTCTGGAAATGACCTCTGACTTTATGCCTTCAACTATCAACTACAAACTGCCTCTCAAAGTACTATCCCCGACTCGGACTGTCGGAAGACAGTGTGTGTGTCGCCTCTGTATGGAAGATGATGAAACAGCAGAACATATACTTTGTGCCTGCCCTGCTAGGGACCGAATCAGGTTTTTAGAGTTCGGCCGAGCCGTACTCTTACCATTTGACCTGAAAGACCACTCACCATACAAACTAATCAGCTTCGTTAAGGAGCTGGATTTATTTGGTCCAGTGTGAATAGGTGTGTGCCACAAGAAACTCTTGCGGGTTGCGGTAGAGGCTCGAATAGACCACTCACTGTAGACCTAAACTAACCTAAGCTGTAGAGCTATGCACATAAATAATCCAACAAGCCATAGCATCGAAGTTTGGCCAGCAAACCCTCATGCCACACACGGTCAAAGGTCTCAGAAATATCAAGCGGGACAGCTCTTGACTCTCCATGTTTCTTGATTTCATTATTCCAAATATAGGTGACATATTGTTGATTTTCAAAGTCTTACTGGTGTTGTGATATCCGAATTGATAGAGTTGACATTCTTTGAAGCAATTAAGACATTACAGTCGAGCCTTCTTTTCAAAAAACAAATTGCCTCAATTTTGAGTACTATGAAATTTTAAAACAGGACCAGATGTCGTAACCATATCTTCAGCTCTGTCAGTATCGTATTTACTAATATTAATGAGCATTATTGAGGGACATTTCGACAACAAATCACTCTTCAATATATTTTTGTTTCTGATATATCATTTCCTTTAACCAGCAGATTTTTTCAAAGTTTCACTTTCTACATCAGAAGTTCCTTTGTCATGTAAGGGTTTTGAATAGTTCGGAAAAAGTTATGCGATACCCGGAAAGGAATATCCTAAATAATGAGAGATAATGTGGAACATGATTTTTTTTTGTATTATTTTACTGCAATATCGTTGAGAAAATATACAGTGTAGATGTTCAGTCTTTCAACTTTCAATCAATCAAATATTGGTTTCAAATGAGCCCAAACTGCAATTGTGTCACGTCTGTTATTATCTGAGAGAGTGTAAAAAGATTGAATGTTGACATTATTGAGGTGTCTTGAGAATAATACACCCGAATGTAGTGAAAAATGGACCAAAAATTGCTCAACGGCATCTTATAGTGATAAGCTGAAGAGAAGCAAGATATTTCATTTCAATTTGATGAAAAATGAACATCAGAGTATAGAGTACAAAATTCTTTATCGATCATGAAATTGAAACAGACGAAACTTTTGAAACAACCTATTAACATTTTGTTAGCGCCATCATTACGGTGCCAACTGAACGAAAACATTCAAAATCGAATGAGAATTTTTTTAATCGTATCATCTATGTGAATGTATTCAAAACGAAATGCATCTCATCATGGGGTATATGAAAATCTAGATAGTGATTTCTCCGAAACGAAATATTGCACTGAAAATCTCTGAATGCTTTCTGGTTTAGAAGAAGAAGAAGCAAAGAAATGGGGAACTTTTTTATAGTCTAACAAGAAATTTGACAAATTGGGATTTTTTTTCTTTCTTGAATGACACAATTTTCCTTTATTGTAACCACTTCCTTATGTTTTGTTATGTCTCCATGAGAGACATCTTTATTTTGGACCTCCTGTATCAATAACATACCTTCGATCATCCTGGTTATTCTATCTTCACACTCTCCGTACATGCTTGCTCTATATTGCGCGCTTCTCCTATGGAATCCCTCCCCAAAACCGTCTTCGGACAACTCGAACTCCTCTGGTGGCTTACTGCTTCTTCTTGGTCTTCTTTTTACAACAGTTTTCGGCCTCCGACAGGCCAGAATAGTAGCAACTGCAATAATACTCAGAATGAGCAGCACTGCGGCCACCGCCAAACCAACAATGATCAAGGTTAGGTTTTTTCCGGAAGTGGAACTTTCTGGGTCTGGTTTCAGTTGGGTTGTGTCTGAAAATGAGAAGGATTGTAGACGGAGTCAAGAAAATGAATAATGTCTGGGTACAGATATATTGTGAAAAATGCTGAAACGGGTTCATTCATTAGTTTTTCCTACTGATTTTCTCGACAAAATAAGTCCGATATTTTTACTATCATTTCGAATTATCGATGTAAAATTTCGCATAGCTTATGTATCCAAAAATGATTTTTAAAAAATTTGGGAAGAAGTAATATTTCTAGAAATTTCAGTTTTTTTATTTCAATCGAGCAACAGAAAGGTTCGTATGACCGTCTTTCTCTCAGGAAAGTATGCAGAGTATTTGCATATTTCTTCTAAAGCTTCAATACCACAGAAAATTTTGATTGAAATGGGGAAGATCAAATTCCATTTATAAATCCGAAGCTTCGGAAGAAATCAAAATTTTTCTGTGTACCAATTTTGTTCCATTTTGTTCATCTGATAATGTTCTATGAAAAATATCCAAACATTTTTTTCCCAACTGTGATTCCTTGAAATCATTATTTGGAAAATTGTGGATACAATGAATCCACTCAGAATATTCAGTCGATGACGAGAGATAAGCTGTAGCTATAACCAGAATATATCGAAAAAAATTACGGAAACTTTTATGTTAGCCCAGAGAGAGTGAACAGTATTTGTTGTAAACATGTTGAATAAAAATTAAAGAAAATAATTCTTGTTCGAATGGTTAAAGATATTCAAAACATGTATAAAATCTATTTTGTTGATACTAATATGAATGAAATGAAAAATTTCGGGATCAAATGACCCGTATTTTTTCAATGTGGAATAATCTGAAAGTGAAAACTGATAATATCGCCACAACTAATAAACCACTTTTCGTCGATTTTCATTCAGTATTGTCACCATAAAAATTTGCATATTTTTCAGATATTGGAAGGTGAAAATATCCAAAGAAGGTTGATAAAAAATCGATTTTCCTTAAAAAAAATCTTTCGTTCAATAGTTGATATACAACGTTCTTCTTCTGTCACAAGATGATGAATAAAATACAGTTTCTGTCTTATTTTCAATAGTTTCATCCCAGTAATTGTTTCTTTTGAAATAACAAGAATGATTTCGAAATGTTGAAAAAATCAAACCAATTTCAGGGATCCTTTATTGGGATAGAAATTTTATTTCTTTAGTATCATTCATCTGTGTTTCATATATTTGAATCTGCTATATCTAATCTCAATTTGAGGATCAGATAGTGAATTTTTGTCCTTTCAGTATACTGCAAAATATAATGAAGAAATGTATAATGAAATTTACTAACTTTGAACTAATGTCGAACTCATTTTGTTTTTCTATTATATATACTTTATTGTCCAAAGAAAACATCTTGTTGACAAAGGTAACTCTCTGTTCTTAATGATACCGCTCACTACAGATAAATTCTCAAGTGAACATTTGGAAGTCATAATATATGTTTTAGAATTATTAAGGAAGAGTAGATCAGAATCACACCAAAACTTGATTTTTTGTATATCATGAGCTATCGTCTCATTGAGTATATCTATACCTTTACTATGCCACAATATATTGGTGTCGTCATACCCTGTGATTTTTTGTCTGTTTGTGCTGTTTATCTCAAAAGCTGTACACTCCAGGATGTGGAGTGTACTCCAAGTCACTAAGCCTAAGGATTAAGTGGGGAATGGGAAGAAATACCAGCGTGGTCCAAATAGAACTGGCTGATATCTCAATCGCCACAAAAAAAATAACCAGAAAAGGCATTTTTGGCAAAAACATAACAATCTGCACTGATAGCAGACAAGCCCTATTATCCTTGAACAGACAACGTTTTACCTTAGTACTAGAGTACCACCAAGATTTAGCCAAAGCCTCGGTTAATAATCATTATCCTGAGGTGGGTTGAAGGGCACGACAGGAGTAGAGGTAATCGTATTGCCGACTTTTTAGCCAAGGAATCGGCTGGACCAAGAATTTTAGGACCCAGTGTCACCAACGGCCTGATCACACCCATGCTCAATCCCTAAAGAGATGGGATGAAATCAAAGAAAGCAATCTTGCCAGGATCACCCTGGGCGACCGATCAAGCTGGAACCGAAGAAATATCTGGCGATGACCAGGAAAAATCTACGCTTAACAGTAGACTGACAACTGTCAACTGAGGAAACACTCCTACAATATAGGACTAGTGGACACACTGCTATGCAGGATAAGTGAACAGGAAGATAAAACTCTCAGGCATGACCTATGAGAATGTCCGGAGTTATTGTCAATAAGAGAGTGTGTGTTCGGCAAGGCTTGGCCTACACCTGCCGATAAAAAGGAGATGTCCCCCAGAGACCTGTACACCTTCCTGGAAAGGACAGGATGGCGATGACCTAGGAGGACAACTCCTCGGGAGGATGTACAATGGGTCACATGTGGTCTAAGCGCTGTGGGCCTACACTCACCCTCCCTACTCTCGTATCATTCATCTATGTTTCATATAATTGAATCTGCTATATCCAATCTCAATTTGAGGAATATATAGTGTATTTTCAGTAGACTGCAAAATATAATGATGAAATGTATATTGAAATTTCCATACTTTGAACTAACGTCGAATTCATTTATACCCTTTGATTTTTTGTCTTCCTGTGCTGTCTATATCAAAAGCTGTACCAGTGGTGACTACGGTATAGATCAAATCGATTTGATTCAGAATTTCTTTCAATTTCCCAATAATTTTTTTCTCTTATTTCCTGTACATCCCCTTGAGTATCGATCCTGGTGGAAGGGTACATAAAACATCTTGAGAAAAATTATCCAACATCAATGCGGTGTATAGACATTTTTCCGATAAATGCCATAGTTTTCGAGTTATTTGCAAAAAATGGTCCCTACTTTCCAGTGCTTTCGACATATCTGACCTATCCATTGTGCTCTGTATACCGCTAATCAGATCCAACTGAGAGTTCTGTGGGTATATAACACACTCAAAGTTTCCATTGTAGTAATCGCAACGTCTGTATTTCTGTTGTGAGTAACGAACTTGTGTTGTTACCAGTATTTCTGCAATAACTACATGTTTTTAATGAGTAGAGTAGAGTAGAGCAAAGCACAGTGGAGTGGGCACAGTGACATTCTCTATACATATCTTTATACATTTTATGTCCATTCAAAACGCTTTTAAAACAATTGAAAGAATCATGTTAAAACAGAAGTGAAATTACTGTTTCAGAATTGAAACATTTTAAATGAAGAAAAGTATATTCAAAATACATGGAATCATCGAAGTTATTTTAATGTTAGAGACTCAGCTATTTTCGTAAACTCCCCAATGATGTGAAAACAATTACGAACTAGAAATATTTCGATAGTTTATTTCGAATTGTTGAACAATGAATATTTCATGTTGGGATGAAGCTAATTATAACAGATGCAAGTTTGAAGTTTTTTTTGACTTATCGGTAACTTATGCATAAATGGATTCAATAAATGTGCAGATCTCATGGCATAATTATGGTTATCACAATTCTTTCAAAGGTCATTCATGAGTATGTCAATTCGCAATGGAACCGGATAATAATAGGTCGAATATGTTCCTGAAAACCTGCATACGCAAGAATTCCTATAGTTCATTTCTGGCATACACTCACTTAGAGTTACGAATGACCCCATATCAGAATTTCATGAGAAGTAACTGACTGGAATGAAGAATAATACGGCAATATTGAAGTTTATATACCGACAACATTCTTCAGTGGCCCAATAACAAAAAGATCACTTGCAAGTCTTACGTCACACCAGTTCAGACCAGTTCAGTTGATCGTCGAATATAATGCCCGAAAATTTCACATACTTTCCATTTTGAATGCTTGTATTCGAAAATACCTATATTTTGAGTTTCATCATCATTTTGTTTGATGCTATTTGCGGTTAAACCAAGTATCTGATTAAGTTTTGTTGGATTCCATTCCATGTGTTCCAAGAATTCCAAGAAGTATTCAGCAAACAAAACACAATTCTTCAGTACAACATAAATGCATGAATCGTTGATAAAAATTTCGAACCGTGAGGACCTAGATCAGAATCCTGTGGAACACCGTGATATATTTCAGGCAATTCTGATTTTCCCTTATTCGCATCAACATACTGATATCTATTTCAGATTTGAGAATTGGTGAGAAGATCATTCATTTCAAATTATAGCTAAGGCTAACACCGAGTAGATGCTAGAACAACGGTCGGCAACAGGCGAACCGCGGCCCGTTAGCGGACCGCGAAAGGTCGAACATTGGAACATATATACCAAGTATAAAAATCAATATGTAGATAAGGTATACCATACCTTTATTATTAGAAGTAATATTTTTAAGTCACATAGAATTGAAGTATGTATTTATTTTATTTCAAGTTGCCTAGTCAACCTCTTTTACAAGTACCTACCTACAACTGAAATGGTTTTATTAGTTTCCTATCTACCTTGTGTACATGTGTGTTTATGCGCGCTTGCCACTATTTTGTTTTGTTGAATCAAATAGGAGGTTTCTGGCAGAATGGACTGAACAATATTGTTTTACGCTGCCTAATAGGCCTCAAGCGATTCCAGTGTGCCTCATATACAATTAAACTGTCGCTATTGTTGAGAGTTGTAATTTGAAGCGACACTCATTAGCAATTTCACAAAAACATTCCTTTTGGCAGTAAGGCTAGTTTGTTGCATAAGTGAGCAAGAAAAATCCACAGAAGCAGCGCTACGTTTGTGCTGGACACTTAATAAACAGCAGAAACCATTTTCAGATTCTGAGATGGTGAAAAAATGTATATTAGAAGTAGTCACGGCACTTTTAGAAGAAAAAAGAAGTTGTCGCTGCATTTCCAGGTATTCCATTATCAGCGAGAAGTAATACACGAGAAACGGAAATTTTTGCTGCCGATATTAAAAACACTCTTCTTGAACTTCTGTAAAAGGCACCTTGCTACGCCATAGCACTTGATGAATCATATGACATTTTTGATGGTGAACAAA